TTATGATAGTTCATCGTTAATTATAAATAATATTTTTGGAATTAATTTTAATTTTTGAGGTTTTTTTAGTAATATTTATTTATATAACATGATTAAAAAGTACTTCAGAAGAAGTGCAAGTATTTCTTACATGCCTACTTGCTACATCTCTATTAAAATATTTTGGAAAATTGAAACTCACCTACTTCAAATATTTCTCGTTTTAATTTAATTTATATAATATTCTCAGTTTAGCATGACTTCTCTCTCCTCACCAAATATTTAATCAGATTTAGCTGAAAAAACTATTGCCCTTTATTAAAATATTTAATATTGTCTACCATTATTCCTAAAATACTATATAAATTCAATATATTAATTCTGACAAAATTAGAGGACAACTATTTTATATAGATTTTGTTAAGAAATTCAAATATATGAAATATATAAATTCAATAAATTTAGATAAGGTGAATTATTTTCAAAAATTCAAGTTTTATAGAGAAACATTTAAAATTGCAAATATTTATGTTCTAAAATCATGAATTAAATAATTGATGTAAAATTTGGCACATTGGAATATCATTCTTTATACTTTTTTACTAGATTTGTTTTTCTTTACTAATAAAAGAGTAAAAAATTAATTATTTGATTATTACAAATATAATAGATGGTCGTGATTTTCGTGAAAGTTATATTAAAAATTAAATCCTTTTGTTATAATTAAATATTTTTAAATGGGATTATTGAAATAAATGTTTTTAGCTGTGATTTTTGACATTATTAGGACGCTTTTGAATTGCTTCCAGATTTTTCTCAGGCAGTAGACGAATCATGATCAGAAACTATTTATAAAACTATTAGAAATATTTACTATTGTCTACCATTATACCTAAAGTGCTATATAAATTCAATAGCATTATAAGAATATTATTTTTGGCTATGTTTCTATTATTACCCATTACCAAATTAAAATGTGTTTACCTTTCTGATTAATCTGCATATTTGTATTAGATGAGTCGTTTCAAATTACACCATCGAATTATGAATATATGATTGATTGATTTGATATTATATTTTCAAAACAAATTATGAGAACATTAAGCAATTTAGATCAATATATTTTGATCAGAATCATGGAAATATTTTTGGCCCTGATGTGATATCAGGTGACAGAATACATAGTTTAATAAATAATACGACCAAATTAAAAAAGTTGTTCGAAGAGAACAAATTAGAAAAGTTGTTATTTTATAAAGATTTTGTTAAGAAATTCAAATATATAATTTTTATATAATATAAAAATCCAATAATCATGAAAAATGTGAATTACTTTTGAAAATTCAAGTTTTGTAGAAAAACATTTAAAACTCTTAAACATTTTTTGTTTCCAAATTACGAATTAAAAATAATTGTATTAAAATTTGTCACATTTGGCTAGCATTTTGTATATTTTCTCTATTAGATTTAGATTTTTGTATTAAACTCATTAAAAAGTAAAAATATCTAGTTGTAATAGATATAATAGATTATCGTGATTTCTGTGAAAATTATGTTAACAATTACATTATTTCAGTATATTATTTAGTAATAATAGGTGTCTTTACAAAGGAATATTGAAATAAATGTTTCTAGCTAGTTTTTTGTCATTTTCAGGACGCATTTAAATTACATCCATATTTTTTCTCCGGAATTTTTTTTATTATCAAGAACAACGATTTACGAAAAATATTTTTTAACCTTTTAAAAATATGAAATCACTTGCTGTTCTTGATTTAGATACATAAATTATGCTGGCAAATTATTTTAAGCATTTATTTACTATTTTAAAGAAATCAGCTCAAAAATAGTGAAATTGTATATAAAATAACTAAATATGAACTTTTTATGCAAATAAATCTAAAAACAATTTTTCTGCTCTCAAAAAGTCATAAAAATGCATCATAAATTCCAAATTTTACACCAAATTGACAATGCAACATCAAATTAATAAAAATATCAAAATATATACATTCAATAATTGCTAACTTTGATAACCAATAATTATTTTGTACTCTTTCATTATTTTAATAAAAAAAGACAAAATCTAGTACAAAAGTATAAAAAATGCTTGTCAAATGTGCTATTAATTTTATGAATATTTCAACAAATTCAAATTTTTATATTGAATAAATGCTTAGAAATGCACTTAGAAACGACTAAAAATTGTTTTGCTAGATTTGGTCATCTAAGATATTTCCAGCACAAAGTTTTTAATTATTCATATTTGAATCTTAAATATTTGCTGTAAAAAATGATACAACCACCAATATCTTTCATAATTATTTATTTTCGTGTTTGCATTAACAATACAGATTTACATTTTGATTCGGTGAGATTTAAAAACAAATAGATTATATAATATTTACACATTTTTTATAACAAAAATTAACATAACAGATTGCACTAAGATTATTTTAATTAAATTGAATTGCACATATCTTATTCATCTAAAATTATTTACAACGTGTATAAATTTACAATAAACATTGCAAGACAAATTATTTCAACTTTGGTTTTGGTTTAGAAGGAATATAATACTATGAAGACTGAATTAATTAATATTTAAATATTATACTAAATAAAATATTAATTAAAATTTTTGGTCCGTGGAGAATGAATATCTCAATAAATTACTAGAAATCACACATAGAAATAATTTATATACAAAATAAATATTGTTTTTTTATATCTACGATGGAATTTGTTAGGAAGCTGCTTACATATAATATTTACATATAGATCGAGAAAAAAGCTGTTTTTACAATTAGATTAGTGATTATCACAAACTGATATATTTTCAAGGACTTAGTTAAGTATAAATGCCTTTTAGGAAAATAATAATTGATATTGTTTACCATTTGGTATTTAAATATAATTAAAGCATATGACATACAAGTATATTTGGTTAAAGTTCAATTTGTACAAAAATGAATTTTTTACTTAAAATAAATAGACTTGATATTTTTTGCCAAAAACATTGAATGAAAAAGCTTTTGTATAGTATATCTATACTAAATTTTTTTTGTAAAAAAATTTTAGAATACATTCGTTTATTTTCATGTAAAAGTAAATTGAATTAAATATTGTGAGTTAAATATTTAATTAATTCTACCACTTTTTTGTCATATATATATATATATATATATATATATATATATATATATAAATAGTCTATGTAAATTTATATACATCCATATTTTTATATGACTATTTAATTACGTATGCTACATAAGACATTTTCAAAATATACAATTATTTTACATATCCAAAAAAGGAATGTTTAAAATTCTTTGGAATTTTTTGGAATTTTCTATCCATATTTATTTAACAAATATTGGATTTTTTTTCATAAATGCTCAAGGAAATATTTAGACAGTTTATTTTGAAAATTGAATAATCAAAATTAAGATATTAAGTATAAAAGACTTAATTTAATAAATATTTTTGCTGTTTTTTTTTAAAAAAAAAAAGTATTTTAGAAATAGTAGTCATGAATTTGCTGCAAATTAACCAGTTATTTTGATTGACAATAAAACACGTCATGAAAAAGAATTGAGATGTTCGGCTGCGTATAAAACAGTACAAATTTGCTATTTGAATTGAAGTTTTTGAACAAAACTCAATATATTTTGAAATGTCAAGTACTTTAGAATATTTTGAAGCTGTGACTGTATAACATAATTAGTTGTAAGTGGCATTTTTCCTTAAGACAAGTTGCTTGAATATTCCAAAATGTTGAATTAATATAAAATTTAAGATCTATCTATAAATATAAAATTTTCTACAGTTAATTTTAAAAATTTGTTAAATAAGAGAGCAAATACGAAAAATATCAATGCTACTACAAGAAAAATTAATCTAAGAAGTTATAAAATCCAATATTTTTCTTATCTTACGATAAAAATGCTTTATTAGAGAACAAAACCGAAAATCCTTTTCTATCCACTGATCAAATTCAATAAAAATTCATACATGTAAATAAAACAATGTTAGGGTGTTTTAATAAAAAAGAAAAACTGTTTTTGAAATGAACAGTACACAATATTATTTAAATAGCTAAATCTTAAATGCTTTATTATTTCCACATTTCGAAAAGTTCATGCAACTTGCCCTAAGGCCAAAAGCCACTTACAACTACTATTTTTATATATTCATAATCCTAAAATATTCTAGACAATTTGTAAGTTCGGAATATATTTTGTCATTATCAAAAATTTCAATTTGAATGACAAATGGTCATCACTGTTTTATACCCATGACGAACATAGACGTCAATAAAAAATATGTTATTTCTCCATAATGAGCATATTTGACAATTTGATTTAACTGGTTAAATAATATGAATATAATTTTGCCATTTTTTTTAAATATTTTGAAAATGATTTATCGTAGTTTTAACTCAAAACTTCTGACTTTCTAAAAAAATTTAGGTAAAATAAAAAAAAATGTCGAACGAATTTGAACCACTTCCAAAAAAAACTGCTTATATATTTCTCTTCGTATCTTTTTTTTTTGTATTCAGATCAATTTTGATCGAATCATTAAATAAGTATCAACTTTGTCCTTTGTCAGTAATTGTGCAGTTTTGGTAATCACACAAAATATTTTCTTTCTCTCACACATTATAGCCTCTAGCATAATAAGTCCTGTGTATTAGGTATCACTAAACAGTACGTATCGATATGTCCTCAGATTTTTCTTACAATTCTCTAAACAATTTTTCACAAAAAAATCGCCCTTTCGGTTTACACAAAAACGCAGCCTTCAGTATCATTCTAAGATAGAAGTATCACTGCGGTCTTTTTCTCAATTTTCTTTTCCAATTTCCAATTTATTTCCTAAACGTTTTCACAAATTGTGGCTCGATGTGTTTCCGGAACCATAAGCCTCAGTTCATGTAGCCTTTATAATCATTCTTAAGATAGAAGTATCACTGCGGTCTTTTTCTCAATTTTCTCTCCCAATTCTCAACTTATTTCCTAAACGTTTTCACAAATTGTGGCCCGATGTGTCTCCGGAACCATGGGCCTCAGTTCCGTGTGTTGTGTCTCCTTGTGCCTTCTCAAATCGACTTTTCTTTGGAAGGCGCGACCGCATAAATCGCAGGCGAACGGCTTGAAGCCAGTGTGCTTGCGGGAGTGCGTGATGAGGTTCGAACTTTGGCTGAAGGCTTTGCCGCACACTTGGCATTTGTGAGGCTTTTCACCTGAAAAAAGAAATAGTATTAATATTAGGTAGTCGAGAGCAATATTTGATAATAATCATATTTATATAGTTTTTTATTTCTTGACATAATATTTGACAATTTCATGTTGCGATGACACCAAGACAGTGCCACAATGATATACGAACCACTCGCATCTAATGAGAATGTGGAGAAATTTAAAGCAAGGAAAATATTAATCACGTGATCGCATTTTGATGATTTTTGAATCAATTCTTTTCTCTTGATGATACGTAATAGCATTTAGGATTAACCACCCCTCACCCTTTATCACGTATTTTTGCAGAACATCGAACATTTTTTGATTTTTTTTTTTAAATTAAGGATTCTTTTTGAAATTTTTCTGAAACATAATTTCCTATTATATTGAAAATATTAATTTATATAGATCTTCCTACGACTAGAATATTTTTTTATTTTTTTAAATTATTTATATATAACTAATCAATAAGAATTATTCATATATTAAAAATGTAATTTCATTCCCCTTACGACTAAAATATATTTTTGGGTATATTTCAACATTTAACAGTTTATTATGTATATATATATAAATATAGATATATATAATATATATAAATATATATATATATAAAATATATATATATATATATATATATATTATATAAATATAAAATTTTTAAATTATTTATTATAGGACTGGTTGCTTAAATCGTACCACCTTAAAAATAATGCCATAATATTAATGCAATTAAGTTAATATATTTTTTAATAAATAATAAAGTATATTAAATAATAAATAATAAACAAAAAGTTGGACGTTCATCGATTTTTTACTTGTGGGGTATGAACACTTACTGATTTTTTATTTTATTAGATAATAATTTTACTTTTCACAAGTATGTACTTCAAGGCGCTTAGTTGCATAATGATGCATAAATAACGAAAAATCATTTTCAAAGTTATTTAATCCAGTTCAAATATTAGTTCTTTGTTCTACTAATTAAAATAAAAAAAAATGTTTACTATTCAAAAAATTGCACATTAAATAAATTCAGTCAAAAACTGCTTGAAATCACACTAAATTTGCCTATTTTTTTATTACAGAATATTAATATAATATAGGTGGTACGATTAAGGCGCTTAGTTGCCTTAGTCGTACCACCTAGTCGCCTAAATCGTACCTACTACTAAAAAACTATAGAATTCACTCTGAGATAAAAAAATAATTAATTAATTCTACAAATTAATTAAAATTCATTAACGATATAAACGTTAATAAGGAAAATATCCTTGACTTACAATTGATAATGTTAATAATCAAATATATTAACACCAACTTTATAGGAAGCTTACATTCAATAGTTTCTGTTTCACAAATTCGTTTGGATTTACAGTTTACATATACAACAAAATGATGAAATTTATGATTATCAGACAAAATGTAGCCGAGGTACGACTTAGGCAACCTTATCCTGAATACAGATAATTCTATCAATTTTTAGATACGATTTTCCTCATTGTAAATATGAGACCTATATTTTTGCACCTACTTCCGCAGCTAATATAATAAAATATAGAAGCATTAGTATTCTCATCTCGCTTCAGATTTGTAATCTCAGCAAAAGAGAAAAATGTTCAAAGCTAGAATATGCCATTGCCAAAGTCCACTGAGTCGGAGTGCTATTTTCCTTTTCTGACCCATCTAAGGCATACAGTAGTTCTGTCCTGGTCGGTCCCAATGGACAAATAAAATTTATGGCTGATTTGACAGTTCTCAAGTCACGACTTAGCACTGATATTGCTTTGTCGAGTCAGGTTCGGAATAAAGTTAGATCAGAGATGGAATAGATAAAAGTTATTTCTATATCATAGTAATGAAAAAAACTTTAACGTTTTTAATGTTTAATCGCTCCTTTTCAGATTTTTATTTTTTACTCGATTTTTTCAAATTATAGATGGAATTGATAATTATTTTATTATTCCACTTTCTCATTACATTCCCAAGTTTTGTTGGATCTTGACATTCCCAAGTTTGGTTGGAACTTGTCAACATACTTAAGTGCATTTTTTTTAAAGGAGAGCCACTCAAACTCAAAATTTTTTTATGAAGTATTGACAATTTTTGGAAAGTACATGATCGCTCCACCTTAGAACCCACAGTATGGAAATATATTCTCTCTAGGGTGTATAAAAAACGACATTTCAGAAAACCGGTTTTTGAATTGTAAATTTCCCAGAAAACCGGTTTTTGAATTTATATAAAAAATCAATTTTTCCTCGAATATTCTGTAATAAAAAAAATTATAGGCTAATTCATTGTGATTTCAAGCAGTTTTGACTGAATTTATTTAATGTGCAATTTTTTTAATAGTAAACCATTTTTTTTTTTAATTTTAATTAGTAGAACAAAGAAATAATAGTTAATCTGGATTAAATTAAACTTTGAAAATGATTTTTCGTTATTTATGCATCATTTTCACATATGAGAACATAAATATTTTTATGATAGTAAAAGCAAAGAGTTCGAATAAATAAAAATAATACATTTTTAAATAAAAAACTTAACTTTTAAGTCAATATTAATGTCAATTTTAGTTCTAAAAACAATTAACAAAATTTCGAGTTTATTCTATTTCGAACAAATTGAATTAATTAATTTTAAATATTTAATAATTTAGATAAATATGTATAAATTATATCACAAATAAATTATTTTTGATTTTTTATAATTTTGTTGAGATATTTGCACAGAATTTAAAAAAACATAGAATACATCAAAATAATTAATTTTATTAGTAAACTAGAGGGGGTGTGTGGCATCGTGCCTTAAGGCAAATTGCTGGAACTTCTCGTACCATAACAAAATGTTCGAGGAATACTGAATGTTTTCAAATAGATTATTATAAATACTGTAACATTGTCTAATATTTATAAGAATTATATAAACTGAATTGCAAAGTTGAATTATATGTTTAAAGTATATTTAATGAAATATGATTGCTAAAAGCTAAGAACGTCTATCGATTTGTTGTTTAGAAGTGTCCTTTGTTTACTCACAAAATTTTCCGAAATAGAAAATACTCTCTCACTTGCAACCAACTAGGCTTAATCGTTTTTAAAGCGTGATATAATAATTCTGAAAATTTTGTAATTTTATTTGTGACTTCTAGGGCAAAAAACTCTTTTTTCAACGTTTGAGTAGAGTAATTCACT